AGCCTGGGCAAGTCGATGTATCAGCACCTTAGATATTACTACTGGGGTTACTTCGACCTGTTAAAGTACTTCCAGTGGCCCGGACCATCGTCTGAAGGAGCGACCATCACAGAGCTCGACACTAACGACGAAGTAACACCAATGAAAGAAAACGCGATAGCAGTGCTGCCTCACCGTTATAGCGTAAAACAGGAAGTCCGGGTGTTACCTAAACCAACTTCGGAAACCCTTATAGTACCTGCACCCGTGAACACGGTAAAGGAAACGGAAGCAAATTATCCAACCATTTTGGTACCGCCGAATATCATCCAGTCATTTAGAAGGAACATCATCTGTCCCCTGAGCCATGCTCCCGCTGGTGACCTAAACCCGATTGAGTTCCTGCTATTTAATAATAACACGGCCTGCAGTTTCATCTTACAAGCTCCTGAGGTTTCTCAATTATCAGCTGTCCACAGTGAAGTGTCCACAAGACCTGGAAACCACCTGCAGCTACTTGCTATTTGTCCACCCGAATGGGCAAATGCAGCTAACACAATAGTCACAATACCTACAGTAAAAGCAGCCAATCGTGCCCCTCGGATACCGAAGATTACCACGACCGCCGATATCACCTCTTGCAACAAGACGTTTGGGTCTTTCGCAAAGAAAAGTAAAGAGGAACACGAGGGAGGAAGGTGGACATTGCCAGCTGAACCAAAAGGTGGACATTGCCAGCCGACCACAGCTTCTTCCGAGCATCGGCCCGACGCGAACAACTTTTTCACCGATGGTGAAAAGGAAGTCTTAACTCGTAAAGATGAAAGGAGACGAACTGGAGAGAAAAAACCAAAGACTTTGGTGAGTTGGCTCAAAAATTACAGATACTGTGCAAAATTGAATTGGCCTAAAATGGTTTCAGTAGATCAACTTATAAATATCCTGGGAGTGTAGTAATGATACCCGGCCTCACAAATATGTATGCTAACAGTTTACTAATCAGTCAGCAACGGGTGGGTAGTGACAGATCCAGACCTTCAGATGAGGGGAGGGGGGGGGGGTGCGGTCATCTAGACCTTTGAGTTAAGGGGGTGGGTTTCAAAATAATTTTTTCCGCCTTTTGGCCCTCCCTGGTCTAAAAATAAAGAGGGGACCCGGGCCCCCCTGGCCCCTTTTCCTGGATCCCCACCTTGGGGGGACAGGGTTCTTGAC